AAGAGCTTTTTTGGAGAGGGATAAATACATCAGAATAAAAGCATCCAATGTGGCAATTAGTCCATTGGTTTTTACAAAGTATTACAAGTTGCTTAAATAGTCAAGGAATTTTTTGAGGACATAGAGCCAGAACCGTTTCTGGAATGTTGTACAGTGGCAGGGCCTTTTGCGAGTTTTTTCACCTGGTTCTGAAAGGAGTGGGTTAAAATGGAAACACTGAGACATCACTAAAGAGAGAGGCACATGTACCCTTGTTACTGGTGACCTCAGAACAAAGCCCCTGGGCAAAGAACAGGGGAGAATGCTATTTCTTTGAAAAGCCATCTTGACAACCCAAGTCTGTTTGGCTTCAGCACCAAAGGCAGCTTTGATCTGCTAGCCAGTGTCCCTGCCGGGAAAAGGATTAGGGGAGCTTCCAGAGGCACGAGGCTGCCCCACATGCTGGATGGGCTGTGCTTGCTGCAGCTAGAAGGAGGGACAGAAGGGAAGTTTGGACAGACAGGAGGAGAGAGACGGAATCCTGTCTTCTCTCCCAATACATGATTAGAGGCTTGTTTGGGATTTCTGGGCTGGTTTTGAAAGACAAGGGCAAGGTGATGGGCTTTCCTGGGCTCTGCAAAGTTAGCATTTGGGGCCCTTTAACTCCTTATGTCCTTGATGTGAGCTGCCAACAATATAAGTCTAAGCCCGTGGGGACTCTTTAGACAGGAGAACCTTCAAACAGCAAGGAGCCTGCTGGTTGGACTGCTATTGATGTCTGCAATGGACAAAGAAAGACAGGAGGACAGGGGTGATGTTCTTTCCTGTCTCAGCCTGTGTACATCAACTCACCTGGCTGGAAGATTCTAATCAGTGCTTTCAAACTCAAATGCACCTGAGGGTCAAGCAGGTAACTTAACTGAGCAATGTGGGCTGAGTGTCTTTTCCTATTGTTGCCAGGTGGGCATGAAGCCTAAGTGTTGCCTGTTCCTCCCACGGTTAAAGAGAAGCTGGAAACCCAGATACTTCCCAGTTTTTAAAAATGGTTCCCATTCATAGCCATCTTTTAAGATACTGTGGGGGAAACAAAACCCATCTGTAGGCTGGGCTGAGCTCCATAAGGGAGAAGTTTGCAATGTCTGATATGTATAAAGGCAGAGGGCATGTGCATGAAGTCAGTGATGACCACTCACTGGACTAAATCCAAGGATGGGTCCAGAGAGACTCTGTGTCCCTGGAACAGGGCTGGCATCCCGTGGAGAGAGGTGGCATGCCTATTCATTTCATCTGGAATAGTTAATAACAGACACTTTCTTCCCAGCTATGAAGTAAGGTGATGGTGACAATAGAGTGTCTTTGGTAATTAACGACTAAAAATCACTCTCTGCCCAAATGGGTCAAGATTATCCACGAATCTAAAGGATTTAGGAATAATTCCACGGTGGTGCATTTACTCATTATTTCTGAATAATATCGGGAAAATGATTTATCTCATTACTATTTTTCCTGACAAATGAATAAATAAGCAAGCAGAATCTCTGAGAGATGAGGAATCCAGGAAGACCAAGGAGTCTGGCTTACATTTATTTATTTCATTAAACTTTTAAAATTTTGACACTGTTTGAGAATTAAAGAAGAGTTTTAAGAATAGTAAAAAGAATTCCCATATACCCTTCACCTGGTTTCCTCAAATACTAAAATTTTACCGTATTTGCTTTCACATATGTCCTGCCTTTCCTCCCCGTCCTCCTGCTCCTGCTTTCTTCTCTCTCTCTTTTCTGAGCTGTTTGAGAGTAAGTTACAGACATAATACCACTACACTCCTAAATATTTCAGGGTGTATTTTTTAAAAATAAAGATAACCTCTCATATAACCATAGTACAATTATCAAAATGAGGAAATCAGCATTGATACGATATTATTAGCTACCTTAGAAACTTATTGCAACTTTTGCCACTTGCTCCAAAAGAAAATCTCGAGTCATGGGTTGCATTCAGTTTCTGTATTTTTAGACATCTTTTTTTCCACCAATCTTGAACAGTTCCTCCAACTTTCCTTATCATTCATGACCTAGACACTTATTAGGCCAGTTATTTCATAGAGTGTCCCTCTGATATTTCCTCGTGCTTCTATACAAATATGCAATTTTTTGCAGAAATATTGGAGAATTCATGTGTTCTTCTTAGTGCATATTAGGGGGAACAAAATGCCTATTTGTCTTATCACTGGTGATGTAACTTTGATCACTTGGTTAAGATGTTGCCTGCCGGGTTTCTCCATGTGTAATTCAAAGAGCAACTTGGGGCCATCTTGTTGGAAGACACTTTAAGATTATGTGATTGTCTGGTAACTCACGAAACTTTCACCGACTAGTTTTAGCATCCATTTGTGGTTCTTGCCTGAACCAGCCACTGCTGTGAATGTTGTCGAGCCTCAGTATAGATTATACCATAAGGAAGAACTTTCTTCTAAGGTTAGATACTCTATTCTATCACTATCAACTCATGGAGTCTTATTCCATTCAATGGTTTGTGATCCTTTACCATCATTATTTATTTTGATGCTTAAATTATCCCAGATTTATCCAGCGGGAGACTCTTCAAGCTGCTGGCTCTTGTGTCCTTTTGACATGTCCTTGTCTTTCTTAGGGCACTGCCTTATTGTCTGACACACTAAGATGTTCCAGATTATCTTGTATTTGGAATCAGACATTTCTCTAAGGAATCCTGCTTCCTTTTCATGAAGAATGGTATTTGGAAACCAATATCTGGGGGCTAGGTGTGCTTATTGCTACTGGCTGTCATTGCCTCTAAGCATCTCATTGGACAGAGCTGGGAAATGTATGTGTTTACATATACATACATACATGTGTATACATAACCTATATCTATATATTTATGTGTATAAAAACTCTGAGTCCATACTGATACCTCCAATCTCCTTCTAACACACTATAGGTTTCATTCTTGCCTTCTCCCTTTCTAGGTTTTTAACTCCCTTCTCCTAGCTTCCATTTTTCACAATATCTATCTTGTTTGCTCAATCCTATAACATACAGAAAATACTTTCAGAATTGCTAATCCATATTGCTGCCCCTAACAAACTTAATGGTGGTTCAATATTTGTTTATGGTTCTTTTTGTCTTTAGCCTGAGGATTTATAATAAAAACATCTGTTTAAAACTTATTTGGATCAGTTCTTCCTCCTTCAGTGTGGTTTCGATATTCATGTGAAATAAAGTTCGTTTCCATTTATAATCAATTTAGGCTTTTACTTCTTTTTGTTGGTGTTATTATTAATATCATGTGTAAAACATTAACATGGTTACAAAAGGCACAACTATTCACAAAGGTACATTTGGCAGTGTCACCTCATCCCTTCTCTCCATCCCCCATCCCTGTTCTCACTCAACCCCCATTGGTACCAATCTTCGAGATTCTGTTTTTTCCTTTCTGTGTGTGTTTTACACAAATGAGCAGATGCATGTGTATTTCCTAATCTCCCCTTCTTTTTACCCAAAAGTAAATAATTACTACACATATGCTTAAGTATATAAAGTAGTGTATACTGTAGACACTCTTCTACACTTTGCACTTAACAGTATATTCTTGAAACCACACCATATTGGTTCACACAGATCCTCCTCCTTTTTCTGAAGCTCAGAGTTCTCCACTCTGTGCACGTACTATAGTTTATTCAACATTTCTGAACATATGAGTACATAGGTTGTGTCAAATGTTTGCAATTAGAAGCAATGCTGCAATAGATGACCATATGCGTATGTATTTTTGAATTGCCAGAGGTGTATCTTCAGCTAGGTTCCTAGAAGTGGGATTGCTGAGTCACAGGAAAACGCCTGTGTAGTTTTATCAGATATTGCCAAGTTCCCTTCCAGAAGACTTGTCCCATTTGTCATTCTCAGTAGCAATGCATCAGAGAGCCCGTTGCCTGTAGTCTTGCCAATTGTGTACTTCGTAATTTTTGCCAATCTGATAGGTAAGAAATGGTGTCTGTTTGTAGTTTTAATTTGTATTTCTTTAATTGTGAGTGAGGTTGCATACTTTTCATATATGGAAAGAAAATTTTAATATATTTTTGGTGAATTGTCAGTGCATATCCTTTGCCCATTTTTTCTCAATTTTTTTAAAATCTTTTCCTCTCAAAGTTCAAGATCTCTCTATATTAGGGACATTAGTCTTTTATCTGCAATACATATATTGCAAATATTTTTCTCCCAGCTTGTCATTTTTCTTTTGACTTTATTATATTTTTTTGTTACACAAAAGTTTTTTAAAAATTTTACATAGGTAAAGTTATCATTCTTAAAAAAATTGCATTTAGATTTTGAGTCATAGTGTGAGAGCTTTTTCTACACCCAGGTTTAGAGTAATTCATCCATATTTTTCTTTTATTACTCAGAATTTCATATTCTTACATCGAGATCACTGATCTATTTGAAGTGTGTTCTTGTGTATGGTGTGAGGTATGGATCTAATTGTACCTTTTTTCCAAATGGCTAGCCAGTTTTCTCAGCACCATTTAGGAAAATGTCTGTCATTGCCTCACAATCTGTGGTGCCTCCTTTATCACACACTAAATTTCCAGATGTCCGTGGGTTTATTTATGGACCGTTCTGTTCCATTGGTCTGTTTTTCTCCTCACGTACCAGTGCTATGAAATACGTTTTAAACTCACGCAAATTATTAATAACTCTACTCACTTGACCCCTGTGTGTAACCTGCCAGCTTTCTGTTAGGTTGAACTATGTAAAACTGCCACCATTCAACAATGCTCAACCTACAAAAATCTCAGTTTCATATATTGCAACCTAATATAAGCATACAATTTGCAGAGCATGTCGAGTCATTTACTGGCTGATCCCAGAAGGAACGTGAAAATTCTAGCCCACTAGACCTCAGGATGTTTCTCATTTCTAAATTGCTTATGGACCTAAGGACTTCTAAGGAGCCCAGTAATAACCCCGTCTCTGTCTTGGTCTTTTCTTTCTCTCCCTATCTAGTGATAGAGGGCCGTGGTGTCACAGACAACATGCAGAGATTTTCCTCGCTGCCCCCTTACCTGCCCGTGAGCTACCACGTCCTCAGAGCAGAGACCTCCTTCTTCCTAAGGGAGTCCAACCAGGACGTGACGCGCAACTCCAGCCTGCAGACCAGAGTGGAGTCCTTCTTCACCTACAAAGCCAAGCGGCCTCCCATATTAAATGCCAGCTATGGGCCTTTTTCTGTGGAGAAGGTGGTGCCTCTGGACTTGATGTTGACTTCCAACCTTTTAGGCCCAACCAAGAAGTTTAGTTTCAACTGGAAACTGAAGGCCTCCGTCCTGCAGGACGAGATCTACCTGAGCTGGCCCAGGGTGCAGGTCCTGTTCCACGTCGTGGGCAGAGACTGGGATGAGCACAGCCCCGCCGAGAAGCTGCCCTGCCTGCGAGTCTTCGCTTTCCGGGAGACCCGCGAGGTGAGGGGCGGCTGCCGGCTGCAGGGGGACCTGGGGCTGTGCGTGGCCGAGCTGGAGCTGCTGGCTAGCTGGTTCAGCCCCCCCACGGTGGTGGCTGGGAGGAAGAAGTTGGGGGACCTGGCCGAGGGGAGCCTGGTGGAGCTCTACTACACCGTGCAGCCCGGGGACGAGCGAGGAGACTGTGCTGGTGGGGACATCAGGAAGGGCAATGCCATCCGTCCAGGGAAGGACGGACTGGAGGAGACCATGTCCCACCTGCAGAGGATTGGTGCCGTCAGCCTCTATCGGGCCCAGGACAGTGCTCAGCTCAGCGAATTGCGTTTGGATGGCAACGTGGTCATCTGGCTGCCTTCCAGGCCAGTCAAACAAGGAGACGTGGTCACTGCCTATGTCACTGTCGCCAGCAATTCCACCGTGGACCTCTTCATCTTGAGGTAGGTGCCCAGACTGGCCCGAAGTAGTCTTTGGTCCTAATGTGAGGCTGTATTTGATGCTTAGGATATATATTCAAGAAGAGTCCATCTTCACTACCCTCAGGGCCCCTCCGCCTGCCTCGGAGTGGAGGCCAAATTATGCCCCTGCCTGCGTGCATTCAGCAGCTCCTCTTACGCTGTGTACTGGCGGGCAGGAGAAGGAGGCCAGAAATTCCACCCAAAAGAAGCAGGACTAAATTACTCACTCTCTTTTGACCTTGGGTTGTCATTGAACTTGGAGACAGATATGATTTTTCTTTAGCTTTGCATTCTTTTGTAGAAATGCAGATACTGGTTGCTTTAGTGAGAGTATGTTTTCACAGAGCCCACATAGGCGTTATGATATCTCACTTTGTGTGTATATGTCTAAAAAGCCAAGGATAAACCCTTTTTAAAAAAAATTGGTGGGGTTAAGTGTTGCCAGGTAGCAGCTGGGAAAACCTCAGTTTGTGAGTACAGTTTAGCAACGAGTAAAGGAATCTGCCCAACGGAAAATTATCCCGCAGAGGTATTCCATCTCATAAAAAAGAAAAAAAACTAAATTAAAGCAACAACAGAATAACCCACCTACCATTACGACTGCTGGTTCCACCGATTGCACCAAAGTTTGAAGAGAGTTGCTCTGTCACTCTGTATAATGATTCTCAAGTTTGGTCCAGGAGTGCCCATTATCTGAGGATAATTAACAGTGGGGGTAAAGCCACTTAAAGCAAATCCTCTTAAAATGTGGGCCAGGATTACATAATAATGAAAAAGTGTTTGATTGAGATTTGTTTAAAAGATAAAGATGATAAAAATCGGCTTTGTTATATTATAATTAAGAAGGATTTAGGTTATAATTGCAGCTATGCTTTGGTTCCTTTTTAGAATAAAAAATTAATCACATGTTGAATGAGTTGCTTGGAAAAATATTTGCAAAACAGAGCGAGAGCATGTTATAGCATATTTCCTTTTTGTTTAACTTTTGTTGTATGACTAGTAGAATGGTCATTTTAAAAGGTTTTGATTGTTTATTTGTTTTTACAAAATGCATTCAGAGGTTTTGTTGACTTAAAAAGCAAATTCGCCTGTTATTTTATCTCAAAATGAGTTTTATTCTTATAAAAGAATTGCAATTTGGGATGTGCATGCTATGGCGAACCATAGGCAAATCTGGAAAACAAAAGAGAGGAGCTGCTTTTATAGAGAAAAAGGGGAAGTAGAGAGGGGCTGTTCCTAAGGAAAGTTCATGGGGGGAAAGCAACAGTTCCGGGCAGCAACGGCTTCTCATTGGCTGAGCTGCAGCGTTTCTCATTGACTGAGCTGTTGCCCGGTAGGGAGAGAAGTCTTCCTTCAGTAGTAAAGTAGTTTCCTTTCCTGTGGAAGATGCTTTCTGCTTGGTGTCATTGAGGATGTGTGATGGGGTGTGAGAGCTCCCCCTGCAGGCCTTCCCGACTCCAGTTTAGTTCAAGTTTCTTCCATTCATTTCCTCAATTTCAATACATTTCTCAATACCTAAGTCCTTCAGACCTGAATAATTCTCTTCTGAAGTGTCTGTCTTGTCAGCAGCCTTACAATGTTTTCTTTCAATTTTTCAGTGGACTGAGTTTCCCTGACCCTCCTTTGACAGTGTGTTTGGATATGATGGAGGACTTTTACAACAGCGCATTCAGCGACGTTATGAAATCCTACATCTTTTACGAGATGTAAAGTTTGCCCTCCAGGGGTTCCCATCACGTTTGCAGTATAGGCCGGGCACCCGCTGACTTTGTGGTGAGGAGAGATAAACTCCCTGTCAGGCATCCATGACTTATTGGAAGTGTCTTAACCTTATAACCGAGGGTCCAGGATAGCAAATATTGAGATAAAAGGATCTGGATTTGCTTCCTTCTGCCTTGGATGGGGAAAGAGATGGATCTGGAAGGTTTGAGTTTCATTTTCACTGAGTCCCTTAGCACCCCTTGTTTCACACCATTCCATCGTAAAACAAATATATCCGGTCCTGGCTCTTTGGACAGTAGGTACAGAAGACAGGGAACTGATAGCCCGGCTAACAAGTTTTAAAATCCCAGAGTCATAATGATCTTCCCTTTTGCACTTATCCTTGACTTCCCTTTCAGAAATGCAGGCTCTGTGGTCCACCAGGGGTGAGAATGAGTGAGTCACTGGGTCCCTAGGTCTAAGGTGCAATCCTTTAGCTGAAGGTGGGCTGCTCAGACCTGGTTCATTGGAGAGGAGATGTTCTCTGTATCGTTCATCACACACTGGTGGAGAACACAGGTCCTGCAGCCAACTGGCCTCAGTTCTGTTCCTGTTTCTTCCACGTCCTGCCTGTGTGACTTTAGGCAAGTCACCTAACCTCTGTGTGCCGCAGTTTCCACATCTCTAAATCAGATGTGATTACAGTCCCTACCGCCATAGCGTTGTGAGGATTCAGTGGGCTAATATTTATTTGTAAGGTGCTTATAACAGTGTCTGGCACATAAAAAGTGCTTATGTGAATGTTGAATGTTACTAACAGGGTTGTTCTGAAACATCCATCAAAACTTCAATAAGCGTTGAATTCTATTTTAGCAGTAAGAGGACCTCGTGCCTTGCCTAAAACAACAGCTACCAGGTTTATTCTGAAAGCTGTATAGATTCTCATTTCACCGTGATTTTGTTTAAAAAGCAAAATTTGTTTTTATAATGACAAGAGTTTCTGGAGCACAGAGGGTAATAACGACGTGGTTCTGGGTAGGATGTTGCTTAACGCTGTGAAGGGCAGCAGCCCTATTTCTGCCTTCCTGATCTTTCCAACCGCAGATCAAAGTCCTAGGGAGAGAGGTGGAGGAGACCCAGAGTCAAGAATGACTCCGAGACATCGGGCATGAAGGACGCAGCTGCCGTGACTGGGATGGGAAGACTGGGAGAAGCAGGTTTTCCCTTTCCAGATAGCATATTTAATTTTAACTTAAAATTAATTTTAATTTTTAAATTAATTGTTTGAAGGGAAAAATATTCAGTAAGAGAATACAAGAGGAGGTGCGCAGAGGTGGCAGAAATAGTGAAGTTGTGTGAGGCTCACTGAAGCTTGGGAACCACCACTCTCTTCCAGTGAGGGCCACGGCTCCTGGAAACCACACTTCTCCAGCCACCTCCACCTACGGCTACTGGTGAGGTCACAGGAGACATCCATCTGGCCCTGCACTGGAACCTTTCCGCTCCTGCTGAGAAATTCGTGGGGCCTTGCAGAGAGACTCTCCTGACTGTGAAATCCAGAGACATTCTATCGTCACCTTGCATAATGGCTTCACTGATGAGGCGGTGATATTTGAAAATAGCCTGGACTTCCTGAGAATTTTTATAGGGCCAATAGCATATATGGAAACTTGGCCTAAGCCTCCTTTACAAGATCGTTTTCGTAAATGATACTCTCTTCCACAGGCAAAAAGAAGCAGCCTGCATTTCATTTGCAACTTCATGAATTTAATTCAAAGGCAACTTCTGCTCTAGGATCACATGACTTCCTGAGACTCAAAAGTCAAGGGGTGAAGGTCCAATCTTTGTTTCCTGTAGTTATAATGTTATTGTAAATATCTATTTGAGAAAATAAGAGATAAAAGAGGGGCCGGCCCGGTGGCGCAGTGGTTAAGTTCAGCACACTCCACTTCAGTGTCTTGGGTTTGCAGGTTCGGATCCCGGGCGTAGACCTACACCACTTGTCAAGCCATGCTGTGGTGGCAACCCACATATGAAATAGAGGAAGATGGGCACAGATGTTAGCTCAGAGTCGCTCTTCCTCACCAAAAAAAATAATAAGAAAATAAAATAAAATAATTACCAACACAAATGGAAAATGCATAACCAGATATGTTTTACAAATACTTGTGAGTATGCTGGTTCCCTGGTTCCAGGCCCCTTGTCCCTTGGCCTATGGCTTAGCACGTAGTAAGGCCCAGTAAACATTTATTGAATTAATATAAAACCAAATACTAAATATCAAACCTGTGTCAGAAATGTTCCTTTGCATGGATGTTTTCCTTCATGACTGACTGAGGCTTCTTGAAATAAATATCAAGATTCCTTATAGCAAGCATAGGTCTTGTTCACTATTCTGAGGGTTTCCAAAATATTTTGACAATTGGGGTCGTCAGTCCTGAAAACTCCCCGTGGCCATCTCCACACGCTTGAAAGCTACCGAAGACCCCGGGATGCCGAGGACGGTCCTTCTTCCAGACGCCTGTTTCCTCAAAGCCCCATTTGAAGTTGAGTTTGTGGAAGCACTCCCTGCATGGGATCCAGGTTCACATTACCCCAAGCCACAGCTGTTAGGTAGATCCTTGACCTTGCAGGTCATTAAAGGGAAGAACTGGGAGGCCATCGCGCCTCTGGCCTTGTCAGTAAGCAACTGAAACTCATTCCTAAAGAAGCAAATGCGGTTCTCATTCATCCTCTCCCATTTAAAATAAGCTTGCCTAATTGAAATAAGTCATTCACAGGAACGGAGGGGGTTTGTTCTCCGGTTGTAACTAATTCAGAACCTTGAAACTCAGCGACTGGAATTAGGGATGCAAGGAGGGTCACAGTCTTTCCTCACTTTGAGATTGCATTACGTTGCTCCCATAAGTTTATGCAGAGCAAATAGTCATGTCTCTGTGTCTCATGGTGAAGGAAGATGATTCGCATATGGACTGGTTTAGTCTATGCTGGGCTTTCTCAACCTTGGTGCTGTTGGCATTTTGGCTCAGACAATTCTTTGCTGTTGCAACTGTCCTGTGCATGGAGGGAGGTTTAGCATCATTGTTGGCCTCTACCAACCAGCTGCCAGTAGCATCCTCTCTCCAGCTGTGAAAGCCAAACTGTCTCCAGACATTGCCACATAGCCTTTGAGGGACAGAATCACCCCCACTGACAACCACTGGTCTACGTCTTTGATGTTCAAAGAGTATAGACATCTGGATGGTCTGTGTGTGGATTTGGGTGGAAAACTGAAGAAATGG